TCACAACCTCAGGATTCCAAGCACAATGCCCTAACCATTATGCTGCCACTCCGCTCCAAAACCAGGTGCTAACTTGGTCGATCAACACGTGACGACTTAACAAATGGGCTTAGTAAAATGGGCTTATTAGCAGGCTGTGCCGAATTTTCAGCTCCAAGTAGATGCGTTGGCAGTGCTTGTGAAAAACACATGGTGTCATCAAGGACATGGTACTGTGAAGATTCATCACTGTATCCCAGATTGAACTGCCGGCAGGTGGTTTTCAGCCACATAGACCTGTTGCTCTGACATCCCTCATCAGATGAGATCGAGACTTCAGTTGGTTCACTTTAGCAAACAAGCAGCTATGAAGACCCCCTGCAGTGTGTGTATTGCAGTGGAGTTGGAGTTAAAGAACCATCATACAGCTGCTTGAACAAACCCACTGTCATTAGCCCAAGGCAGACAGCACTGTGAGAGCTGTGTTCTTCAGGCATAGCTATCAACAATTGCCTGGATCAAATACTACCTGACAAAAGGACCACAGTTTGGTTGACTTAAGGGTCAGCTCTCCAATCAAGTAGTAAGCAAATCAGAAAGACAATAGGGGACTGTACTCTCACTATTCCTTTTTCCTCTATGCACATTTGACTTCCAGTGCCTGACAGTCCTCTTACCTGCAGAAATATTTGGATGACTCTGCAGTCATTGTGTGCATCAGAGATGGACAATAAGCTGAGTAAAGAGAGCTAGTAAACCACTTTGTAGCATGATGCTGATTCTAAATGTGAGTAAATAAAGAAAATGATTATAAGTTTCAGAAGATATAAGGACAAGTTGAATAATTCATGGAAGGTGTGTATATATATATATATATATATATATATATATACACACCTTGATGTTCACCTGGACAAAAACTAGACTGGAGACACAGCTAAGAAGAGACAGAGCAGAGTGTATTTCCAGATCCGACACCTGCTACAGAAGATCCTTCCTGCTTACAGCCTACAACTGTCATATAGAGGGAACAAATAGACCCAGTGTTCAAGGTGAGACAGTCAGTAGGAAAGTTCAAAACATGGAGCTGATGTGGATCTGTGGGCCTGCAAAAACCCAGTCTCATGGGAAAATGTACCCCCACTACGTTGGTCCACACTGCAAAACGTAGTGGAGGTACATTAATGGCCATTTTTTTGTGGTACTGTTACATTTCTTCTGCCTATACGCTTTCTATTGTTTCACGTCCTAGTCACGTGACTTTCAAGATTCCAGCTGGGAGAAGAAAAAATATGGCAGACATTCGCTCATTTTTTGTGGAAAGATTAAGAACTTGAGTTTGTTTTTGCATTAAAATGAGTTTTGATTACATTTCTAGTGAGAAATGTATAGTTTGTTGTCAGAATATTTACTCAGGGAATGTACATATTCACTTGCTTGTTCGTTTCTTGCAAAGATTTTTCAAGATAATGTGAAACTGTAACGTTTTGGTATAAACATGGCTGAGATTTCTCTAACTTTTAGTGGGAAAATCAATAATTTCAATCAGTTTCTGCATTTAAATGGGTTTTGATTACATTTAAAGCGAGAAATGTAGGGTTTATTTACATAATATTTACTTAGTGAACATACATAATCACCCGCTTGCTAGTTTTTGCTTTGATTTTTCGGATCTCGTCAGGATTATGTGAAATTGCAACGTTTTGGCTGCTACCCATCGCCTAGCATTTAGCTGCCGCCCCGATTCAACATTGAATTCTTTGTGATTTAACTCCATCTGACAGGTCAAACCCTCGCCACTGCGTGCGTTGCGTCTGAGGTTGATTTTCAGATCAATGCATTACGTCGTGGCATACGGGAGAAACTAATGTTGACAAAATGATCATGGGTTAAGATCGGATGTGTTTTATTTGGAAATCTACCGGATCCTTTGTGCATTTAACTTCCCGTTTTGTGCGATCTCATTGATGGGCTTTGACTCACAGCTATCTACTTCCCCCCCATGGGACTTCAAAGACGAAAATTTGAAAAAAATATGAATGGAAGTCAAAGGGGAGAAAATAATTATCTTCTGGTCCCAGTCGTTCTCTGCCCTGGATTCCAGATATTTTGAACGTGGATTTAAATGAAAAATTTTCATGCAAAGAAAAAATAAATGCTGCAAAGAACTGATTATTTCCAACCAGGTTTTACTTGAAGCCACTTTATTTGTTTTGTTTTTTCCCCAAGTTTTTTAACATTTGTCCAAAGAACAATTCACATTTATATGTTATATAAAATATAACATAAGACAAATATGAAATGACAAACAAAATTGATAAGTTCACTTGAAGCTGCTTTGTGGACTACAGCTGTCACTGCGAGTGATGACGTTGCTCCCTGCGACTGGCAAGATCTAGACTGGCCATCATTCAGTCGGCGTGATGGAAAGACTCAACATTTCCTTATCCTGTCCATGCTATTTTCCTGTTTTTGAAAATAAAATAAAAATGCTGTGACGTGCCGGAGTAAAATCCTAATTCTAGCGTACCCGGGACAGCTGGTGACGTATGTTGCTCGCGACGATAGCTGTAGTCCACACAGCGGCCTCAACTCTTGGAATAATCTGAAATCTTCGCGGTATTTTATTTTTTTTTTTTAGACTAAAAAAAAAACCAAAACAAAAAATTTAAAAACACAACCAGCATATCTGGAATCAATGACAGAGAGCGACTGGGACCAGAAGTTTATTCATTTCTCCCCATTGATTTCCATTCAAAATGTTTTCGGTCCCACCGGGCTCTAGGGAAGGGGCGTGACTTCGGCTCCGTCTCGAGAAGAGGAAAGCCTTTCTGCTTGCTCGTTTGAGTTATTAACTATTTACATTTTTTCACCTTGTAAGAATATGGGCTGGTGTGGTATTACTCCACCTCAAAATTCCAATAAATAGCCAAGAATATCAGTGTGATTTTTGTAGACCTATCTATATTGACAGTCTCTGCTTATGACATACACAGTGCTCTATCTATCTATCTATCTATCTATCTATCTATCTATCTATCTATCTATGTCTATTTTGTCTTTTTATTATCATCATTATTATTATTATCAATGTTTGTACAATGGCATTTTTCCTGCACACTGCATACATTAAACACCTCAACCCAGTGTCACACGTATACATTTCACAACTTTATTGTAGGCCACACAACCAAAAAAAGCCATAAACATCAGTAAGATCGAACAGTCAAGTCTTTTTAATACAACAATGACATTTTGAAAATGTTCTTAATTGCTGGTGTTCTCTGATTTCACCCACTGCGGCGGCCAAGTTTTCCCACTGTAATAAAAAGAGATTGTAATTCATTTCAGTATTTACATCAACCATGAATAAAATTAAAGGAATAGTACACCCAAAACATGATTAGCCTTCATTTTCTACTCACCCCCATGCTGAACAACACTCTGGAGTACTTTTTTGATATCTCAAATGCATCTGGAGATCTGGGAGGCTTCTTGCTGTCTGCTGACATTCAAATAATGGAGGTCTATGGTGCCCGAGTCAGAAAGGTCCATAAAAGTCCACAAAAAACGTGTCAATATTCCTCCATACTGCTCGTCCAATGTATTCCAAGTGTTCTGAGTGGGTAGCATCCAGAATTTACTCGAAACGAAGTCATTTAGAATGTTTTTAGAGCATAAACAGTAGTGTATAGGATTTCCTGAAAGCGCACGCCGGCGCGTTCATGACGCTACGGAAGCCGGCAGACCAAACCAGATGAAAGTGCGCATTCAGCGTCTGCTCTGACGATAATGCAAGCGTAGAAGAAGAAATGTGCTGTTTACCTGTGCAAAGAAAGAAAAAACGAAAGAAAAATGTCTGAGGACTTCAGTGTTGAGGAAGAGCATGAGTTCTTTGCCGAGCTGAATGCGCACTTTCATCCGGTTTGGTCTGCCGCGGTTTCCGTAGCGTCATAAACGCGCTGGCGAGCGCTTTCAGGAAATCCTATACACTACTGTTTATGCTCTAAAAACATTCTAAATGACTTCGTTTCGAGTAAATTCTGGATGCTACCCACTCAGGACACTTGGAATACATTGGACGAGCAGTATGGAGGAATATTGACACGTTTTTTGTGGACTTTTATGGACCTTTCTGTCTCGGGCGCCATAGACCTCCATTATTTGAATGTCAGCAGACAGCAAGAAGCCTCCCAGATCTCCAGATGCATTTGAGATATCAAAAAAAGTACTCCAGAGTGTTGTTCAGCATGGGGGTGAGTAGAAAATGAAGGCTAATCATGTTTTGGGTGTACTATTCCTTTAAAATCCTGAATTTAATTGTAATGAGGAACAACAAAGCACCTCTTCATTCAGTAGGTTTACACATGTACACGAAGCTGATAACAACAGTAAATTACAGCAATGTTTCAGTTAAGGCCATTATTTTTCAGTTTTGATTCCACAATGGAATTACTCTTGCACACCTGGTGACAGAAAGGTGCATCAAAGAAGGAGAGCAATGTGGACTGGCTCCCACACTTTCTTCTCACTTGCAATGAGATCAACAGGCCAACATTTAAGTTGTTTACCCTTCCTCAGGACATCCCTCTGAACAAATAATCTGTTCAATTAATCTCATGGAATCCACAGGCACAACATTATAACTCATGTAGGTTTGAGCAAAGAGTTTTGTAAAAAAATAAATAAATAAATCAGAGGTAAGCCACATCCCAAATACAACCCTGTTGTAGTAATAATGTACGGTAGTAGTAATGAAGCACTGAATAGTCTCTTGAAGTGCAACGTTCAAGACATTCACCCTTTTATACACACATTCATACAGCACTGTTCACAGACAGGTTTCCGAGACCAATTAACCGTTTGCCCACATTCACACACACAATTACAGAGGGAGCAAGTGTGGATTCAATGTCTTACCCAAACACACTTCCACAAACTAAGCCAAAGCTGCCAACAAATACATGCCAATGCTATTACTTGAAGTTTTAAAGTACTAAGTATGAGGTTATTCAAATCAAAACTATGATAAATTGTACATACCATGGTGAACATGGCTCCCACTCCACCAACTCCATTTTGAAACCCTGAAAAATATCAACGTTGGGGGGTTAAGGGGTTTCAATTTGGGATTTTTATTGCTTGGGGTATTTAATCGCTAACCTTCAGCATTTTACATCAGATCACCACCTTCACTGGGTAGTAAGGATCCCATGGTTGCATTCTGAAAGAGCAAAAAACAAAAACGAGTTTGACGTCACACATCTTCATCCATGTGCAGTATTAGAAACAATTTTTATACAACACATTTACAAGTATTTACAACTTATTTACAACTCATGTAGCCTATATCTGTCCAAGGCAAAAGAATCAATGTATTTGAAGTCTGGTTTGAAAAGGTGAAAGCTTAATAACCTCTAGGTGATTTTTCCCCCCTCAGTTTCCTCCTTGTAGATGTGTCTGCAGTTGAGGCTGAAGATTTCTTCTGCTTTTTTTTCTTTTCAGACATATCTGTTGAGATTAAGGAAATGTATTAGTTAAGAGCTGTTAGTAATGAATACTGGTCTAAATACCTCTAACTCAACAACAAATAAATAATGTCACATTACAAGTGGATAAAAAAGATACAAATTCTAATCTTTAGCAAGGCACTCATTTCAACAATTGGGGATTGTTCAACCATATGCTGTAGGGTCACTTTATTCTTTTGCTTTACCAAGGGCTATAGATTATAAGATGTACAAAGAAGTGACCAATTGAAGGAAAAGCCTGGAAGACAAGTGGAAAAACAATGAATGTAGTTCCTCCAACTCAGATTTCCTCCATCCCATAAGTTCAATATTGATGGGAGTTGTGTCTGATAATGCTTCAATTCACAGGGTATCACTGAATAATTTACTAAGTACAGCATGAAGATTCTGTACCCAATGTGCCAGTAGGAATCACTGCTGTAATTGATATTACCACGTGGGCTTCGGAACTTGAAAAACTATCTTGAAAAAGATTGTCATTTAACACAGTTTGTCACTACTGCTACAAAGTGCTACATGTGCTGTCCACATTTAAAATAGTTTTTGGAAATCATTGATGTGACGTGCCTTGGGACAAAGACCAAAAGGACCTCCCAGATTGTTATAAGATCTAAGTACAAAAGCCAATATCTGTGTTTTTATGGGGGTGTGTTAGTGTCCATGGCATACCCACTCAACATGACATCAAAATATGGCAATCTTTGCAAATAAACAATAAAGCTTTACAGTTTAACATTAAATATCTTATAATAGGTGGACTGGATAGCGGACCTGTTTGCCCTGTAGGGGTGTGCAAAATAATCGTCATGATGGTGCATCGTGATTCTAATTTTCGTGATCTACTGCATCGATTCTTGATGCCAAGTATCGATTATTAATGTGAATAAATGAATAAATAAAATTGCATGAATGGTTGGCGAACATCAGCCAAAAACAAGTGTAATAAAACTTCCAGTCCAGTAGATGTCGCTGCGGGTATGTTGACGCCCGCTGCCTTGTAATCCTTATTTTGTTATTCTTAGTTTTTATAAATCCTAAGCACTTTTTGTCAATGTGTCCACTCCAGCAATAGTAATATTTGTGTTCAGTTACAGTAATTCCGTAAAAATATCCACTGGACTTGGTTTTCAAGATTTGAAGACGTTTCGCCACCTCTCCAGGAAGCTTTCTCAATTCAAATGTCTAAACGTCTTCAAATCTTGAAAACCAAGTCCAGTGGATATTTTTTGAATTTTTACGGAATGACTATGACCTGGATGACTGAGAACCTTCATCAGCAGTTACAGTAATATTTGTTTTCATTGCAATACCTCCAAAAGTCATTTCAATAAATACAGCTATGTATGAATTCAGTTGCTTTCAGTTATTTATAAATTGGAAGACACTACCCAGATCATACTCAGCCAGTCAGCCACTGGTAATGGCTGTATTTTTTTCTAACAGTGTTCAGTGAAAATATTGCAATGCATCACAATAATTCAAGTATCGTGATGCATCGCGATAGAATCGCATCGTGGCCTGTGAATCGTGATTCGAATCGAATTGTGACTTCTTTGGCAATACCCACCCCTAGTGCCCTGTGGGTTACAGTGCTGGCGATAGATGAGTAATAGGTGAAGAAAGGATGCTGGAGCTCACATAGACACAGTAGACAGAAGCAGTGTTTCCCCTTGCATTTTTGTCCAGAGGGTATAGGGGGGGGTTTTCCTCCTGGGTGGTGCGAGAGTAATTTTGATTTAGGCTCACGATTCCACACCCCCAAAGCCTGCACCCCATTCATGTGATTAGTTTTTGAGGGTGAACGCTGGTATTTAAAAATCAGATGACAGAGGGAGAACAGTGCTGTTTAGTCGATCCATCTGCAGCTTCTTACTGGGCATTTTGGGTGGAGGGCTCCAACTTATTTGGACTAGCCAGCCCAAGAGGGGCCTAATACTAACCAGGTTCAATAGACCTAGGATATCCTTTAGTTACCCGGCTTCGCTTAACCAAATGATGATCATGTTAAGCCGTCACACGACGATGGTCACGAAGTCAACTCTGGGTTTCCCAGACGCGTACACATGAAATGGGCATCAACATGGATGCGTATGACAGAAGCTGCAGTAACATAGTAGAGTGTTTAATTATCAAGAAGCAAAAAATAATTCTTCAACGATGTGAAGAACTGAAAGATCAAATCCAGAGAGAAACAGTTGCTGCAGCAAAGTGCAGGAAGAGCGGCAAATAAGACTGTGTAGATGCATAAATTCACAAAATCTTTTTTTTTTTTTTTTTTTTGGGATGGCTCTGACAGGAATCACATTTGTGTAATTCTCTAAACTGACATGTTGCCCACATGTAATTTTATGGTGTGTGATGGGTACACTAAGGCCCTGCCTTACAGAAGGTTTGTGCGTGCTAAAACGAGCGCTATCTTTATTACACATAATCTGCCGGAGCTGATTTACAAGGAGGGCAAAAGGAGGTTTGCGCCTGTTAATGGCCAAAATAGCCCCGCTATCCATTTTGTGTGTCTGCTGTAGATGAATATGCCATCTGGGCGTTTCTGCTAGAACATGCAAAATATTGTGAGGAGACTATGCAAACAACTCAGCTTAACACAGGCAATGTGATTTATCAACCGAGCAACAGAAAGTAGGCACAAAAAAATTGGATGTAATTTAGCACGTCTGAAAAGCAGGTGTTAACTGGCAGCTTTATGCACTGATGGCTGAAGTTCTGCAAACAGGACTGCAGACATTGCAGCGTTGGGTCAAAATAGTTTCTCATGAGGTGTGCAGGTGACACGTCAAGTTTTCATTATTCAATTAAATTGTCAACATCACTGTTTAATAGGGATGGGACGATTTATGAAAACCATCAGAACTATTCGGTTCGTCTGTCTCGGTTCGATTCGCGTGTTTCGTTCGGTTCATGCGCTGCTCCTTTTTCTCATAGGCGAAGCGTTTACACTCCAGAGCAGAAGGTGGCGGTACTGCGACCAAAGCCAACCACCAGTAGTAAACAAGAACAAGAAGTGAAGCAGCGTAGCCGGGTGTAGCAGAAAAAAATCAGTTGTTGTGGAGAATTGTGTCGGAATGGCGAGTGGGAAAGAACAGGAGTTGGAAGACGCGCCAGCAGCACTTTATAGGTCTGCTGCATGGGAGCGCTTTGCATTTAGAGTGACCTACGATGACGGCGGAAAGAAAGTTGTGGATAAAAGTGCAACACGTTTTGTTTATGCTAACAGCAACATGACCAACATGTCATGCTAACCCTGAAATCCCTCATACTCCATCAGCAACCCCTGCTCCGCCACGCTGCGCTCCAGACCGGCTGCTCAAAGCAAAGCATACAGCCTCCACTGTGGCTCCCGTCCGCTCCCCTCTGAGTCCCTTGGAGATGGTAGAGAGCATGCGCGAGATGATTAAATTCAAAGCAGATGATTAAATTCAAAGCAGCAAAACATATGGAAATGTATGTAAATGTCTTATAATTTAAAATAATTACAATCCATTTTCTCATTAATTTCATAAATCTTTATGGGATTTCGGTGTAACAATCAACATCTACCGAACCGAACCGAAAACCGTGACCAGACATCGTGAATCGAACCGAACCGTGGATTTTGTGAACCGTTCCACCCCTACTGTTTAACACAGGTTATTCTTGACAGATGAATCAGAACATCTGCAGCTCTAGTATAATGGTAGTTAAAGCTGACATTAATCATGTCTTTTCATTTTATTAAATTTTTTCCCAATGGCATAATTTCAAATTAAGATCAGCTCCTGCTCCTCTTCTCCAGACCACAGCGACTGCTGCTGCTCTGAGGTTGCTGTCCTGTGGGAAGTTGGCCCCCACCCCACAGAAAAGTCAGTGAAAAAAACCAGTAACACAAACTATTGATGTAAAAGCTTGTAAGTTAGCTTTTAAAACAGCTTTGAATAAAAAAATTAAAAAAGAGAAACCTCAGTTTTGTATCAGATCTGCTGGGGCATAAATTTGTCACCGTTGCAGACGATTGTGTCAAACATGGTTCCTATCAAGGTCCTCCCTCATGTGCGAACACAAACTGATGGGGAAGGGTAGTTCTTATAACTAAACTCTAGACGGGTAGTTACAGGATCTGCGTTCCTAGAACCTCTCTGTCCAAATGCACCTCATGAAAGGGTCAATCTGAAGCAAGCTTTCAAGGAACGTCAGACCCCTGGGATTGGCAGTTTTTAGATGAACATCTTTAAGAAAACTTTATAGATTAATAGATATAGGCTTTAAAATGACCAAATAATAATTATGTATTGATCTCTGTCTCTCTCTCTATTCCCACATATAGGCTATCGGTGATTACACACCGAACGCAATTTGGGTGTCAAGAGCGTCAGGTTTACATGCAAAGTCAATGGCCGATGTGCAACGAGGAGGCGACAAAAACCCTGCGGCACATTACGCAAGTCGGGCATGGCGCATCTAGATGCGTTTCATGTGTTGATTTTTGAGCATTTGACGTGAGTTACATGCGCCATGGGCAGAATACGCCGGAGTTGGAAAATCAGCCAATCAGAGAAACTCAATGTCATGACACCGACACACATTTTATGACAGGACGGGGACACACCCTGAACAACCAGGGGAATCTCCTCTCTCTCTGAAGACAGAGGATGAACCATAACCGGTCCCGGTTTCTGGTGGCGGTTTGATGACCTGCTGTGCCGATTGGATGTACTGGGTTTATAACACTGCCCTACATCGGGATAGTGGGTTGTTAAACTGGGCTGGATCAGATGGCTGAAAGCACCAGTGCAGCTCCTGGAGTAAATGATGAAACTCATCACACTCAGAACAGCTGGAATCATCTGGTGAGCCTGCGTCCATCATTGTGCAAACTGACCAGTGAAAGGAAAAAAAGAGGAGGGGCTCCTCCTGACGCGCGTCGAGTGCGCCTTCCTGGACATCCCTCGACACGTGTCGGGGGCATTAAAACGCTGAGAATCAAGCGTCTGACTTTTTAGTGACCCAGCGTCTAACTGGGCATCAGGCGTCTCTGACGCCAAATCTCGTTTGGTGTGTACGCAGTAGTAGCCTGGTACACCAGCCTGACTATCGCCATGTATGAGATACACGGCAAGTCAGTCTGGGTTCCCTCCACTGGGAAATGATTTCCACTCCGGTCAAAAAATGACCGGACCAATCACAGCGCAGCAGCAGAATTATTAACAGAAGGTAAAACTCCTACGATGTCTCCACCGCTTCTGCTCTGTTTTGGTGCTTAACTAACAGCTTCTGGGTCATAGTCACATGATGTGCGACACAAACGCTTTCTCATATTTGTATTTCGGCAATAAACAATGCTAACATGTAACAGAGTATTTATAACAATTAAACCAGACATTCTATGTTAATATACGCAAGAAAATTACATTATATATAGAGAAAAACAATGTGTAAACACTGACTTCCGGCGTCGCCATAGCAACAGAGTGCCAAACTACGCCAGCTACAGTCACCTCTGATTGGTTCTCTCTCCGGTTCACTTCCTCCTGTTAGTCCCGCCTCTCGTCTAGCATTGGAAATCAGTCTCCAGTGGAGGGAACCCAGACTGACTTGCCGTGTATCTCACACATGGCGTTAGTCAGGCTGATGTACCAGGCTAACACAGTACGGCTAGGCGATATATCGATATGAAAAATATATCAATATATCGCCAAATAAGATATGGAATTAGACCATATCGCAGATATCAACATATAAAGTTCAATATTTGTTTGTTTTGTCTTTTTATATAAATGATAACTTTACTAGGGTTGTTATATTTATTTCTGTGTATTATTACATACAGTATTTCTGTTTGCATTTTATCGTTCTTTGAAGACCTGAGCATTAACTCATAATGAACCTACTTGTAATGTCATATTTGGCTCTGACTGTAACTAAATATTTGCTCTCACTTTGCGATACAAATATCGGGATATATATCGTATTTCGATATTCAGCCTAAATATATCAAGATATGACTTTTGGTCCATATCGCCCAGTTCGAGTACGCAGGGTATATCAGAGATACCTTTTCATCTGAGGAACTGACCCTCTGTCAGCTGATTTGACCATGTTGTGTGCTCACAGTGTCATGGCAATGTAATTTCCCAAGAGAATGATTGGTCAGGAGGCATAACTTTTCTACCTGGTGATCTCAGTCTGGAACATCACCTGCAATGGACCAAGTTGGCCATTCAGCATAAGTGACATGGTGATGTATCCCAGTAAAAAGTAGGGATGCACGATATTGGGATTTTGGCCGATATCCGATATGCCGATATTTTAAAACTCATGTAGCCGATAACCGATATCGATACTGATGTTAAAGCTGGATAAAAATAAGTAGTCATTGAAAATAGCAGTTTTGTTATCCATTTCTAACACTTTGAAAAATAATATACTCAAATATATTTTCATATGCTGATATCAAATAGATTTTTAAAAACGCGGTATCGATCTATTTTACTTTCATAATCTCGTGAAATTTCATCGTTCTGTTACAAACTCTCGTGATATTTTGCAAATTCTCGTGAGATTTTGTTAGTAAAATAGATCGATACCGCGTCAATGTATCAACATATAAAAATATGGCAAAATTTTGTGAATTTTCGGGGGATTTCGTAGCATAACGATGACATATAGCAATATTTCATTAGTAAAAGAGATTGATATGGTGTTTTTAAATGGCAATATATCAGCATATGAAGATATTGTGATATTTTTATGTATTTTTAAGTCTGTAAAAAAGAATTTTTTTACAGACTTTTTTTTTAGACTTTAGAAACTCAGAAGCTGATCAAATATCGGGTTAAATATCGGTGGGGTGGCCGATGTCCGATATTCAGTTTAAGGCCGATACAGATAGGGGGCCGATTATATCATGCATCCCTAGTAAAAAGTGAACCACAGTCATAGAATGGAAAACCCAGCATTAATCTTGACGACAACTTGACGACAAACTCCTTTGGAGAGAACAAATTGGTACAGTCTGCGAAAAAGTCACTAAATCTCTAGGTATTTTGAGAGGGATTAGAAATTTTGTTCACAATAAAGTGATGTTAACTCTATATTATTCATTAATCTATCCATACCTGTCATACTGTAATATTGTTTGGGCAAGTACATTTCCTAGTTATCTTAAAAAAATACTACTTTTGCAAAAAGCTTTTGTTCGCTTAGCAAAATTCTCTAAAGTTGATGCAGCTAGTGCTCCTCTTTTTTCCAAATTACAGCTGTTGAATATTTTTGAAATTAATATTTATCAAACATGTACCTTTGTTTTTATGATAAAACAAGGTCAGTCTCCTGATACTTTCAAGAAATATTTTGTTAAGAACTGCCAAGTGCATTCTTATAATACTAGACAAGCTTTGTCTTTTCATTTACCGTTAAGTATTAAAACTCAAGTGCAATTTTCTTTTCGGCATCGTGGTGCAAAATTATGGAATGAATATGGAAAATATTTGGAATCTTCAGAAATAAATGGTAGAAAGTCTTTGAAAAAAATACTGTTATCCAAAAAGACAGTGATGTATGATTTTACAAAAATTTGACCCCCTGAAATCTGAATGCTAAAATGTAAAAATAATGTTACTGTACATGTCTATTCTGTTTTCTCTGAAAGGACTTTCATAATGTGAGCTGCCTGATATTTTGTTGGTTTACGGGTGTGGCCTTTGGTATAAGCCCTAAAGGGTTTCTGTCACACTCCATCACATTTTTTATTTTTTATTTTATTCTATTGGTGTATTCTGAGTTTTTATTTTGATCTGTGAAAAAAAAAAAAAAAAAAAAAAATCTTGAGGTTATCTCGATAAGCTCAAATCCTCCTTTGTAGTACAGGCCTCAGGGTCACTCAGACCAAGAGGTCCAATAGTGACGACGGCAGCTGGTGAGAGAGCTTAGGAAGTGTAGATAACGGGGCTGAGCAGATGCCTAACTGAGGGCATGTGTGTGAGAAGCATGCGGGGGAGTACCACCCGTCACAGAGGAGAAATGCATTGTCATGAATGTAGTGAAACCATAGCGATGCATTGGGTGGATATCATAGCTTCTTTCTTTTAAAATAAACATCAGGCTAAATAATCGATAAACACTGTGAAGTGATTTCTATACAGCTACAAATGAGGCTCCAAACACCTACTGCATGACTGGATGATGGGCTGGTTGGTGGGCTGGATGGTGGAGCTGGTGGTGGGCTGGATGGTGGAGCTGGTGGTGGGCTGGATGATGGAGCTGGTGGTGGGCTGGATGGTGGAGCTGGTGGTGGGCTGGATGATGGGCTGGTTGGTGGGCTGGATGGTGGAGCTGGTGGTGGGCTGGATGGTGGAGCTGGTGGTGGGCTGGATGGTGGAGCTGGTGGTGGGCTGGATGGTGGAGCTGGTGGTGGGCTGGATGGTGGAGCTGGTGGTGGGCTGGATGGTGGAGCTGGTGGTGGGCTGGATGGTGGAGCTGGTGGTGGGCTGGATGGTGGAGTTGGTGGTGGGCTGGCACTGAAAATGCTGCACTTGGGACAGCTTGTCAATCTCAATTTTGGCATTGGCCCATTCGAGGAAGGCCCTCTGCATTGTGTCCCCGCATATCTTACCACTCTGGGAGCAAAAGTGAAAAAACAACACAAAAACAGTCAGTAACCCTACAGTTATTAATACACAGCTGACGATGTGTTAAAGGTTGGCTTTAAGCCCTGGTCATGGTGAAAGAAATAGCTCAATCAAGAAATGTGTGCTAAAACTTTGCAAATGTAAGCAAAAGTTCTAATGATGAATCAGTTATTTAAAAGGGGATCCAAGCAAGATAACTTGAATAATGAATCTACTCACTCGCCCAAAGAGTTTGGTTCGACACTGGAGCATGCTTACAAAAGCCTGTCGCGACATCCCTGGGGCAGAAACCTTTAGATCCTCATACGTGGTGAACAAGTCCACCATGTATAAGGTCTCAAAATTGGCGGTGGCTGGCCAGTAACCACTGTCAACCAGGTCATTTATAGTCACTGGCAAGGTTTTTCCGCAAGAGCAATTCACCAACGGAAGGAAGAGGTTGTATCTTCCTGAAATTTCAGAGAAAAAATAATTATCTCTTAAAAATAAGTAAATGAATAAAAAAACAATATGAAGAAAAAAAAAAGTTACCATTCATTCCAATCAAAATAACTTGTCTTCCCTTGGAAAATGTTGTTTGACCAGTGGAGCAGTCGCAGCAGGGAGCAACAATTGGTAACAGGCAATCTAGGAGAGCAGAATTTTAGTAGTGTCACTGAAAGCAAACAGTCACCAACAGTAAGGGTGTTGGTTCTATCAAACAAAACATTATCCAGCATGTTTGTTGGAGTAAATCAGGGCTTCTGTAAAATGTAAACCAGTCTATATAATGTAAAAATACCTTTCTCTTGATAAGAGAACTTCCCTCCTTCATGCTGCTGGACAAAAGTGGATGGTGGCAGGTGTTTGAAGAACCCCTCCACCGTGGATGCTCTGTTATGCAGCACCAAGGTCTCATGTGTGGAGAGATCACAGGTTGTGCAGTACAGTGATCGGGGTAAACAGTCCCTACACATCACAACTGCGGCCTTGTGCCCACAGTGATGGCAAACCCCCTCCTTGGGCTTCTCAGATGACAACATATTGTTCACCATGAAGGGCCTCATCACTGTCCAATTGTGCAGAGAGGAAGTTTGCCTGTTCATCCAGTGTGAGGGGAGAGGTTGTTCAGCACCACTTCCCAAGAGGTCTTGGACATCTTGAAGGAGGGAGTCTGTATTAAAAGAGAAGGCCATGGTAAATCTGGGCAATCACCACATAACAAATAAGGAAACAAGTATTAAAGGAGACAAAACCTAAATTGTTGGTTGCGGTTTCTCCAGTTGTATCAGTAGATGGAGCACAGGAGGGAGTTACGCTTACTGGGGACACTGCAAAAGTATGAATAACTATTTAAAACTTGATCAATGAAGAATGAATACAACTACTGATGAAAAAACAATAACCAACCAGTGACTGAAGCACGTTTTCTCTTCTCTCCAGCTCTACTTCTTTTTGGCAGAGATTGACCTTCTTTGTCCTCGTCCAACCAAACAAACGACTTTGTTGATTTTTTTGAGCGTCCTTTTGTGTGTACATGCTGATCTACCTAAATAAACAATTGAGCCACAGAACAAACAACAACAACACAAGGTTATTATTGTCATTTATAAATATTGCATTATATCCACCTTATTCCTGAACTAACATTTGTAAAAGTGTTTATGCGATCTACTTCCTGTGAGATAGCGGAAACAGCACTTAGCCATTGACATTGACAGTGTAAACTGTTGTTTCTACTGGCAGCTTATTGTAACATTTTAACAACAGTATTTATAACATTTGAACCCCAGTCAGCCTCAGCAGATGGCCGCTCACACTGAGCCGCCATCTGCTGGAGGTTTCTTCCTGTTAAAAGGGAGTTTTTCCTCTCCACTGTCGCTACAAGCATGCTTAGTGTGAGGGATTGTATTTGAGTCAATGAGTCGATGCAATCAACTGGTTTTCCTTAGATAGCAAACTTTGTATCAATTTGACTGGATGATCTGGTTGTACTGTAAAGTGCCTTGAAATGACATGTGTTGTGAATTTGGCGCTATATAAATAAAGTGAATTGAATTGAATTGAAATTGAATAACCTCTCAATGATTTGCCCCAGAAAAATGTCCTTGCACATTTCAGGAACATCTTGCTGTTCATGTTTGTACTAACAACCAGAGAAAGTTAAAATTGTTGTTACAAGAGCAATGTGTAGAACATGCACCTCCGTCTAAAAGAGAGAGTGGCTGCAGGACTCCACTCTGTGACCAAATGGTCGCATTTTGCTAATAATAACAAAATTCACCACCATACTAATAATAACAAAACAATAATAAATTACATCTGCTGCTTAGTAAACAACTGTATCCCACCTCTGTCAACAAAACAAGACCAAGCTTATTACTGTGGTACCCTGCTTCCTATGTCTGGAATTCCCAATCTCTGTACTGTAAACTCTTCTGTACAGACACTCTTATTATTACTATTATTAATAATGATCCAATACAGTGTTGTTTTATGTGGTACCTGTTATGTTTCGTGTTTTTTTGTGTTTACCATACTGTTTTTAATGTTTTATCTGATCTGTACACTGTCCTTGGGGTGCTCTGAAAAGGTGCTTTTCAAATCAAATGTACTATCATCATCATCATTACTATTATCATCGTCATCAGTGGCGGATCTAGGGTGTGGCTACTTGGGCTGCAGCCCCGGATGTTTCCCCAAGAGCCCCGGATCTCGCTTCTGAGCTGATCGGAGTAAAATGTTCAGTACTGGAATTCACCAGAGAGTGGCAGCAAAGGCAGGAAAGCAGCCTGTAGCATTCCTGTGCAGAAGAAGTCCCCACTAGCTGTAGCTAAACAGACTGATGTCCCAGGTATGTGAAGCTCTGACTGACTTCCAGACGTTCTTTGTCCTGGAGTTGTATAAAATTCTGTTCCCCTTGTGGGAGCACGCATGATGGCGGATGGGACCATTTTCATTCATGTCAATGTTGTAACATCCAGTTCAATCAGCAGCTGTTGTCTATAAAATTGTAAAATAAATACATAGACGACGTCCTTTTAAGCTGTTTTGTGTTATTTTTTAAACGCCAAGAGAATCTGTCTTTTTCCAACTTCTGTCAGTTAAGCCTGACAGAAATAAAAGTCAGAAGTATTTATCATTTTTCACTGCTGATATAAGAGAACGGAAACTGGCTGAAAGCAGGACACAAAAATTAAGATTTCCAGAAAAGATTAGAGAGTAGACTTTCTGCTAAATCCCGTTCTAATATAAAATATGACAGATTACTGGATTAAATAAATTTCTAGTATACTACATGCTATCAAACATAACATTTTTTGAGAATTTGGAAACAGTTGCTGTTTATTTCCTAAACATATGGGAGGAGAAGAGGAGAGAATGGATATTTCAGCTGCCTGGAATATTCCGTTCCTCCTCCATAACATGGGAAGGAATTAATTCACCTACAAATCTTTAACTGTGTTTATTCCTCTCATCATCAACAACAAATCCTGTGGATTTAGTGACATTAAATCATTATTTGCCAAAGTTATGAGAGGGAAATCGTATATTTTAGCCACCTGATATAATCCGTTTCCCCTTTGATGATCTTTATGAAATTTCTTTTCTGTTTTAATGTTTATCTAACAATTTACAAATATATTTGAAAAGAAAAGTTCAAACCAAAACAGCCGGACTTTGTTTTCCAAGTTTGAAGATGTTTCGTTTTCCATCCAGAGAGCTTTCTCAATTCAAAATGTCTGAAGTAATGCTATTCCAGACATTTTGAATTGAGAATTGACATATTTTTATTAACTATTTAAGATTTCAAAATATAAAACAATAAATGTTTCAAACATAATATAGAAAAATAATGACAGTTTCAAAATTCACAGGATTTGTTTAATTTTTCCCATGTTATGTAAATATATGATTTCCCCTTCATAACTTTGGTAAATAATAATCAAATGTCTCCACAGAGCTTGTTGTTGAAGAAATAAATAAACACAGTTAAAGACTTGCAGGTAAATGAATTTCTTCCCATGTTATGGAGCTGGAATTGTTATGTGTGATAGCATGTAGTATACTAGAAATTTCTTTAATCCAGTAATCTGTCATATTTTACATTAGAACGGGATTTAGCAGAAAGTCTAAACGCTCATCTTCACCCTCGGGGCTAAGCCCCTGATCTCCTAGAATCCTAGATCCTCCCCTGATCGTCATCATCATGTAAGTAGTGATAACCCTTGAAGCTTCTAAGATTGCTCATTGCTTCAGTCAGATGTGACAGAGCTAAGTGGCTAACGTTGCTAATAATGCTACTGTTTGGTATTTTGGCCAGATTTGCATATCCTCCACCTCCTCTGTTGCACGAGGCAGAAGGATTTTAACGTTGTCCTGTGTGAGATTAGACAGCTGATTTCCCCACATATTTTACCTAAAAGGTTCGCAAAAAGTGGAGTAGCACGAATATCTAGCATGCAAATGAACGCCGGTTCCGGTCGAACCGGAAATCGGTCGCATATTTCACGCAACGACTCGTTGGGGCTAGGAATAAGCTGGATAAAAAAATGTTGTATATTAAATTGGAAAAAAATAGTTCTGTTAATTGAAGTCCTGTACTGTACTGACAAATCTAGAAAACTCTGTCTTCATTAAAAATAAAAGTGACACATTTTGACAATATTTAATTAAACATGCTGGCCGTGTGCAAAAAAGGCGCTTTGGAGCCCAGTCCCGAGCGCAAAACTCCATAGGATTTTAATGGAAAGTAGACGGCCAGAGCGAAAAAATAAACAAACAAACAAAACAAAACAGCGTGTCTGGTAGACACGATGTGTATAACATTGAATGTAAATGTATGAACCAGGTAGTTTACGGTATAGTTGCACTTTGTTTGGAGTGTTTTCAGTTTAGCACCTCGAAAATAATGTTACTTAGCCTACCTTGTACTCATCCAGGAACGCATCTGCCAGGAAAATAGCATCTTCCAGATCAAGACGATCCATTCTTATCTTTTTCTTTTCTTTTTTTTTTCCTCCTCCTCCTGTAAAATAAATAAATAGACGAGGTCCTTTTAAGCTGTTTTGTGTTATTTTTTAAACGCCAAGAGAATCTGTCTTTTTCCAACTTCTGTCAGTTAAGCCTGACAGAAATAAAAGTCAGAAGTATTCATGATTTTTCACTGCTGATATAAGAGAATGGAAACTGGCTGATAGCAGGACACAAAAATTAAGATTTCCAGAAAAGATGAGAGAGTAGACTTTCTGGTAAATCCCGTTCTAATGTAAAATATGACAGATTACTGGATTAAAGAAATTTCTAGTATACTACATGCTATCAAACATAACATTTTTTGAGAATTTGGAAACAGTTGCTGTTTATTTCCTAAACATATGGGAGGAGGAGAGGAGAGAATGGATATTTCAGCTGCCTGGAATATTCCATCCTCCTCCATAACATGGGAAGAAATTAATTCACCTACAAATCTTTAACTGTGTTTATTCCTCTCATCATCAACAACAAATCCTGTGGATTTAGTGACATTAAATCATTATTTGCCAAAGTTATGAGAGGGAAATCGTATATTTTAGCCACCTGATATAATCCGTTTCCCCTTTGATGATATTTATTAAATTTATTTTCTGTTTAAATGTTTATCTAACAATTTACAAATATATTTCAAAAGAAAAGTTAAAACCAAAACAGCCGGACTTTGTTTTCCAAGTTTGAAGATGTTTCGTTTTCCATCCAGAGAGCTTTCTCAATTCAAAATGTCTGAAGTAATGCTATTCCAGACATTTTGAATTGAGAATTGACATATTTTTATTAACTATTTAAGATTTCAAAATATAAAATAATAAATGTTTCAAACATAATATAGAAAAATAATGACAGTTTCAAAATTCACAGGATTTGTTTAATTTTTCCCATGTTATGGGGGAGCAGATTATATCAGGTGGCTAAAATATATGCTTTCCCCTTCATAACTTTAGCAAATAATGATCAAATGTCTCCACAGAGCTTGTTGTTGAAGAAATAAATAAACACAGTTAAAGACTTGCAGGTAAATGAATTTCTTCCCATGTTATGGAGCTGGAATTGTTATGTGTGATAGCATATAGTATACTAGAAATTTCTTTAATCCAGTAATCTGTCATATTTTACATTAGAACGGGATTTAGCAGAAAGTCTAAACGCTCATCTTCACCCTCGGGGCTAAGCCCATGATCTCCTAGAATCCTAGATCCTCCCCTGATCGTCATCATCATGTAAGTAGTGATAACCCTTGAAGCTTCTAAGATTGCTCATTGCTTCAGTCAGATGTGACAGAGCTAAGTGGCTAACGTTGCTAATAATGCTACTGTTTGGTATTTTGGCCAGATTTGCATATCCTCCACCTCCTCTGTTGCACGAGGCAGAAGGATTTTAACGTTGTCCTGTGTGAGATTAGACAGCTGATTTCCCCACATATTTTACCTAAAAGGTTCGCAAAAAGTGGAGTAGCACGAATATCTAGCATGCAAATGAACGCCGGTTCCGGTCGAACCGGAAATCGGTCGCATATTTCACGCAACGACTCGTTGGGGCTAGGAATAAGCTGGATAAAAAAATGTTGTATATTAAATTGGAAAAAAATAGTTCTGTTAATTGAAGTCCTGTACTGTACTGACAAATCTAGAAAACTCTGTCTTCATTAAAAATAAAAGTGACACATTTTGACAATATTTAATTAAACATGCTGGCCGTGTGCAAAAAAGGCGCTTTGGAGCCCAGTCCCGAGCGCAAAACTCCATAGGATTTTAATGGAAAGTAGACGGCCAGAGCGAAAAAATAAACAAACAAACAAAACAAAACAGCGTGTCTGGTAGACACGATGTGTATAACATTGAATGTAAATGTATGAACCAGGTAGTTTACGGTATAGTTGCACTTTGTTTGGAGTGTTTTCAGTTTAGCACCTCGAAAATAATGTTACTTAGCCTACCTTGTACTCATCCAGGAACGCATCTGCCAGGAAAATAGCATCTTCCAGATCAAGACGATCCATTCTTATCTTTTTCTTTTCTTTTTTTTTTCCTCCTCCTCCTGTAAAATAAATAAATAGACGAGGTCCTTTTAAGCTGTTTTGTGTTATTTTTTAAACGCCAAGAGAATCTGTCTTTTTCCAACTTCTGTCAGTTAAGCCTGACAGAAATAAAAGTCAGAAGTATTCATGATTTTTCACTGCTGATATAAGAGAATGGAAACTGGCTGATAGCAGGACACAAAAATTAAGATTTCCAGAAAAGATGAGAGAGTAGACTTTCTGGTAAATCCCGTTCTAATGTAAAATATGACAGATTACTGGATTAAAGAAATTTCTAGTATACTACATGCTATCAAACATAACATTTTTTGAGAATTTGGAAACAGTTGCTGTTTATTTCCTAAACATATGGGAGGAGGAGAGGAGAGAATGGATATTTCAGCTGCCTGGAATATTCCATCCTCCTCCATAACATGGGAAGAAATTAATTCACCTACAAATCTTTAACTGTGTTTATTCCTCTCATCATCAACAACAAATCCTGTGGATTTAGTGACATTAAATCATTATTTGCCAAAGTTATGAGAGGGAAATCGTATATTTTAGCCACCTGATATAATCCGTTTCCCCTTTGATGATATTTATTAAATTTATTTTCTGTTTAAATGTTTATCTAACAATTTACAAATATATTTCAAAAGAAAAGTTAAAACCAAAACAGCCGGACTTTGTTTTCCAAGTTTGAAGATGTTTCGTTTTCCATCCAGAGAGCTTTCTCAATTCAAAATGTCTGAAGTAATGCTATTCCAGACATTTTGAATTGAGAATTGACATATTTTTATTAACTATTTAAGATTTCAAAATATAAAATAATAAATGTTTCAAACATAATATAGAAAAATAATGACAGTTTCAAAATTCACAGGATTTGTTTAATTTTTCCCATGTTATGGGGGAGCAGATTATATCAGGTGGCTAAAATATATGCTTTCCCCTTCATAACTTTAGCAAATAATGATCAAATGTCTCCACAGAGCTTGTTGTTGAAGAAATAAATAAACACAGTTAAAGACTTGCAGGTAAATGAATTTCTTCCCATGTTATGGAGCTGGAATTGTTATGTGTGATAGCATATAGTATACTAGAAATTTCTTTAATCCAGTAATCTGTCATATTTTACATTAGAACGGGATTTAGCAGAAAGTCTAAACGCTCATCTTCACCCTCGGGGCTAAGCCCATGATCTCCTAGAATCCTAGATCCTCCCCTGATCGTCATCATCATGTAAGTAGTGATAACCCTTGAAGCTTCTAAGATTGCTCATTGCTTCAGTCAGATGTGACAGAGCTAAGTGGCTAACTTTGCTAATAATGCTACTGTTTGGTATTTTGGCCAGATTTGCATATCCTCCACCTCCTCTGTTGCACGAGGCAGAAGGATTTTAACGTTGTCCTGTGTGAGATTAGACAGCTGATTTCCCCACATATTTTACCTAAAAGGTTCGCAAAAAGTGGAGTAGCACGAATATCTAGCATGCAAATGAACGCCGGTTCCGGTCGAACCGGAAATCGGTCGCATATTTCACGCAACGACTCGTTGGGGCTAGGAATAAGCTGGATAAAAAAATGTTGTATATTAAATTGGAAAAAAATAGTTCTGTTAATTGAAGTCCTGAACTGTACTGACAAATCTAGAAAACTCTGTCTTCATTAAAAATAAAAGTGACACATTTTGACAATATTTAATTAAACTTGCTGGCCGTGTGCAAAAAAGGCGCTTTGGAGCAACAAACAAACAAAACAAAACAGCGTGTGTGTATAACATTGAATGTAAATGTATGAACCAGGTAGTTTACTGTATAGTTGCACTTTGCTTGGAGTGTTTTCAGTTTAGCAAACAATGTTACTTAGCCTACCTTGTACTCATCCAGGAACGCATCTGCCAGGAAAATAGCATCTTCCGGATGAAGACGATCCATTCTTATCTTTTTTTTTTTTCCTTCTTCTTTTTCTTTTTTTCTTCTTCTTCTTCTTCTTCTTCTTCTTCTTCTTCTTCTTCTTCTTCTTCTTCTTCTTCTTCTTCTTCTTCTTCTTCTTCTTCTTCTTCTTCTTCTTCTTCTTCTTCTTCTTCTTCTTCTTCTTCTTCTTCTTCTTCTTCTTCTTCTTCTTCTTTTTTTCTATCATGGCGGATCGCAAGCAACTTTAAGGTGCATACCGCCACCTACTGTTCATGAGTATGTAGCGACACTGTTTTACATCTATTAAATTCTATTTTTTAATTTTGTATTCTGAAGATAAATAAATAGTGCTTTCCTCTTCTTTCACTTCTCCCTCAGCCTTCTTCTTCTTCTTCTTCGTGACAGCGTCAAAATGCATCCGAAGTCAAAACATTAAGATTTCTTTCTTTCTTTTTAATTTTCGCTGACAATCCAATAAAGAATAATTATTTGAAAAGCATAGTAATAATAATAATAATAGAAATAATATTTTTTAAAGCAGTTAATGATTCCAACAAGCAAGCAGAAAGGAGTTCCTCTTTGGTCAAAACCTGGTCAAAACCCATCAATGAGATCGCACCAAACAGGAAGTTAAATGCACAAAGGATCCGGTAGATTTCCAAATAAAACACATCCGATCGTAACCCATGATCATTTTGTCAACATTAGTTTCTCCTGTATGCCACGACGTAATGCATTGATCTGAAAATCAACCTGAGACGCAACACACGCAGTGGCGAGGGTTTGATCCGTAAGATGGAGTTAAATCACAAAGAATTCAATGTTGAATCGGGGCGGCAGCTAAATGCTAGGCGATGGGTAGCAGCCAAAACGTTGCAATTCACATAATCCTGACGAGATCCGAAAAATCGTAGAAAAAACTAGCAAGCGAGTGATTATGTATGTTCACTAAGTAAATATTATGTAAATAAACCCTACATTTCTCGCTATAAATGTAATCAAAACCCATTTCAATGCAGAAACTGATTGAAATTACTGATTTTCCCACTAAAAGTTAGAGAAATGTTGGCCATGTTTATACCACAACGTTACAGTT